GGAGAGAATCTAAAAATGATAGCACTGAGACCAGATCCAGATGATTGGTCTCCATAGTAACAACAGCAGAGGCAAGCATCGTGATGTGTTTGTGATGAATCCACACACACACACACACAAACACACAGACACACACACAGACACACACACACACACACACACACACACACACACACGCACGCACGCACGCACGCACGCACGCACGCACGCACGCACGCACGCATGAAACTGTACATTTAGATATAACTTTTAAATATATTTTGAAAATATCTGAATCATAAAACTCATGTAAAAGATTATGTCTGTGATGTGTGTGTGCATGTGTGGATTTACAGCTTTTGAAAGAATATTGTATAAGACACCACTTTAAGAGGTCATTTCTCTCGGTTTCTCCATGAATTAATAATTGTTTTGTTCCATAAAGGTCTGATAACATTTATTCTAAATGTATAAATTATTAATCATATTTTTAATAATATTATTTGAATCATTCAGACACATACACATGCATGCACATATATTTTATAAATTAATATATTCATTTAAAATGTGAATTTTATAATAATATTTGAAGGTCATCATCTTTTGTAAGTTGTTTGGACAGAACTGTGTGTAGGTATAGTGTGTCCACAGTCATATTGGAGTGATAGAAACAAAATAACAAAATAAGTCTCTTTTTTTCATTTCCTGACGTTAAATTAGGGTTCAAATCCCTCCAATTTTGAGGTTAACCACAACGTTACATAGGAGTTTGGTTTTCCCCACCCACCAAGTTGATTGACAGCCACGTATTAACATGTCTCCGTAGCACCGCGTCTAATCATATCAACAAGACAGGATGTGCGCAAACCAAGCGGGATTAAAAGATCTGTTCAGCTCTCTGTGATCATCAATCATTTTCTAATGTGATCAAGAATGAGTTTTACAAGTTTAAAATGTTATTTATAACAGTGCATGTGTGTAATAAATACAGCAAAGTCACTGTAATTCATCACCACAGCTGTGTGTCAGTACAATTATAAAATAAGACAATTCAATCCCAGTTAATGGACTTAAATGAGGTTTATTTTGTACATTAACATAACGGATATCAATAGAGCAGTGGATATTAACGTGTATCTTGTCACATTTGCCGTGCAAAAACAATGCAAAGCTTAACGTGTGTGTGTGAGCACTTTATAACAACATTGTGTTTGACTCATCGTTGCAGAGAGGCTTGAATTAACTCCACGACGAATGCATTGAATAACTGTTGGGAAAGTTCCTCTGTAGTAAGGAAGATCTGCTTCATTTTCATCTTTCACTGTGCTGTTTACCTACGTGAAGGTTACATGCATCAGAGAAATACTGAGAGATATCTGTGGCTCCAGCCTGATCTCATGAGGAAACGTAAATATTTTACGTTTTGTCAGTGTAGTGGCTACAGTCATATGAAAATGTAAGATTTTAAAAAGGAAGCGTGGCACCCAACCCCACCCCTAACCCCAACCGTCATTGTGTGATGAGCAAATCGTACTAAATTGTACGAATTCATACAAATTAGCCACTAAATCAAAAAGTTACGAATTGCCGTGAGATTGCATGGGTGACTCTGACACACATATGGGAACGTTGGGTGGGGAGAACTAGCTCATTTGCATTAACGACACAGGCAACAATAACAGCTACAATGCCCTAACAGCTCGGATTCCTCAGCTTTAAAAAGGTATAATAAATAATCTGATGTGTATTTTGAGTTGAAACTTTACAAACAGTATAGAAACACTTGAAGGGGGGGGGGGGGGGGGCAAAATAGGTGCCCTTTAAAAATATATTCATCAATAGCACATATTGTCACTTAGAGCTTTTTTCATGAAAATGATAACTGGCCAAAATAACAAATGTTTTTATTAGTTTTGAATTTAAATTGGAGTGTTTATGTTCATTTCTTACATCATCTGAAGCAAAAACACTGGTATTGTGTTGTCGAAAAATTAACATCAACATGTATGAAAACATGCCACTTTAATGAATCATTTTGTCTCAATGGCTTTAAATGACAACATTTTTATTTTAGATTTTGAAGAGATGACATCAGTAGATAACAGTTAAACATTTCTTTTGATCAAAAAAACAAAACATTTTAGACGTGTATTTTCATTTAGACAACACAATATCAATGTAACTCCAAAAGCATTTGGAAAATAGCATAAAAAGAAGTCTAAAAATTTGTAAGAAAATATTAATTTTACATGTATTTAAGTATGTTTATTGAAAGATTTTTTTTTTCACTGGAAAAATCTAATCTTTATGTGCTTCTTTAAGTCTATGTGAAATCTAAATTTATAGTGTTTACTTCATTGGCACACATTGTGGCACACATTGTTATTCTTTAGGTGCAGAATTAATCCATGCAAGTTAATCCACTGGTAAAAAGTTTGTTTAGGTAATCAATTGAAATCTAATCATTTGCTTCTCTGCTTGGAGGGGCGGTCCTTCTCTTCAGCCAAATATTCTTAAACACCCCCCTCTTACTGTTAGTTTGCTATGAGAGAGTTATGCTCAAAAAGAAAGCCCCACCCCCTACTCAATATTCAACTTCAGTTAGAAGTGCATTAGCATGCTGAAAAAAAGTCTCAGCAACTTCCAGTTTATGTGGATGTAAGAATTGAAATATTGCAAATATTCTGATATCTTTGACAATTCAAAACATGAGCTGAAAACAGAGACTGGTGACTTCACAACCCACCAGGGAGGAATGCGGGAAAAAACAGTTCCTGCTGCATTTGCATCTGACTATGCTGAGACTCAGTTTCATCCCCCCAACTCACGCATATGGTCATTTCAATGTTTGAATGTTTTAGATTAACCAAACTGACTTTAACTATCATGTTTGATATCATTTGAAATGTCTCAGTGCGATTGGTACAATGGTCTCATTCTCTCAGAAATAGACATAATCAGAACAATAAATATATAACTTCAGGCATCTTTTGAACCACTGTGAGGGGTGTGACTTTTACACTAAGTGTGAATGCCTTCTTTGTTATTCACACCCCCTTCCTTGAGGGAATTCTTGGATTACTTAAGGCAAGGTTTGAGAAAAACTCAGGGCGATTCTGCCTAACCAGATCAGCCCATAACATGGCTAGCTCCATGTTATGTATATTTCAAAGTCAGGAATGCATCTTTTTCATCTTGGAGTTATCTTTGATAATTTGATGTTTTGTATTGATCGTTTATGAATTGACTGATTGAATTGGCATAATACATTTACCTGACTAATAAATTGTTATGTTTTGAATGATTCAGACAGAGTTCGTGTTATTATCACTGATAAATGTTGTTGTCCATAGCACTACAAGCCACTGTACAGGTTAGTAACGGACTAAAACATGTTAGACGGAGCAGCGTGGCACGCTATTCAATGTTGTTAGAGATCCGACTAACAAATTGGCATTATTTCATGTATACTTGGACTGTAAAAGGCCAACTATTTAGAACAACAAAATATTGTTGAAACTACTTTAAATGTGGATATTTAGGCCTTCATCTACAATAGTATAATCCTGCGCGATTATTATTAAAATACTTTGTCTTGATTAAGTAGATAACAGATCCATGGGGACCACATAAAAATCTCCTAAATTGAGTAAGTAGTGTTCTGCCTTTTTAGGAGAGTGGTTAATCGCCTCTGTTTAATGACCAAGACTGACAAGCTTGTATTAAGAGATTGTATACCCGGCCGGTGCAAGACTCGAGATGCTATCGGAATCTGAGTAAATGAGAATAAGGTATAATAACAAATCAAAAGAATATTCAATCATAATCTAAATTAATGTGAACGGAAACAAAATAACCTTCTCAATGTTTTATAATTGGAGTCAGATAAAACGAGGATAAACATATTAATATTCTAAACCATCTCATACTAAAATTGGAGTCAGATATGAGTTAAGTTTAATATAAATCAACATTGTGCACTGGAAAGACCGAACATGCAGTGAACCTTCATCCACCATTGGATACCGTCATTGGACCAACTGGGTGGACCCTACAGTGGACTTTAAATGAGTCGTCTTTCTCTGCATCAACAACATTGACTGCATTGATCTGAACTTCCAGGTCAAGAAATAGCCTCAGATGCTTCTATGTGAGCCCATTTAGAGTTCATTAAAGTTGACAAAGTGGTGAGATTTAAGGTTTTGTTGGGGATAAGTGCATTCAGGAGGTTGGTATCCCAAAATAATCGATAGCCCGCTTATTACATGGCTACTTGCCACATACATAAAAATTAGACAAAACATTGTTCTGAAGCGTAATGGTTTATTAATTCCTTAATTAAAGTAAGTAAGTAAAGGTTTATTTATATAGCACCTTTCCCAGACATTGAGTCACAAAGTGCTTTACAATAAGAGAAAACAAGTAAAAGAACACAGGACAATAAATAAGGCATGTTAAAACATATTAAAACTAATTAAAAATCCAAATATCTCAATTAAATCATTAAATCAGAATTCATTCAAATCATAATTAAATGCAAAACTTTCAAAGAAAAAAAGGCAAAGCTGTCAGAAACAAAAACAGCTGATGGCGTATACACTAATCTGCGCATTGTTCAGACACAAGATGGCACCAAATAGTCAAAAACACAAAGCTGTCAGAAACGAAACAGCTGATGGAGTATACACTAACCTGCGCTGTATTCAGACACAACATGGTGGCAAACAGTCAAAAACCCAAAGCTGACGGAACCAAACTGGCTGGCGAAAGCACATACAAACCTACATATTATTAATTTACGGTCAAAAACAGCAGTGTGCCAGACAAGCAAATACATATGAATGTGAATTTAAGTATTTGGAAGCAAACAGACAGTCAAGGTAATTCAAAGTTCCCGTATGAGCTTATATTATTTAGCGGTTGTTATCTCGGGATAATGACATACCATGCAATGTCCCGACTAACCAATCAGAATCGAGTATTCTAGAAAGCAGTGTAATAAGACCAGGATAACTCACCTCCACAAATAGGAAACATGGTATAATGGAGCTGCTGCTCTTCACAGCAGGTTTCTCTTCTGCTGCCATTGTAGATCCTCCTCCTTTCTGCTCTGATCCTCCTCTCATGCTCCCACTTTATTCTTCACACATAAAAAAGACAAAAACGACAGGTCAGCTGCTAGAAAACTTCATTACAATACCTTACTAGTCTTACGCATTAGATCTTTATTTACAGACAACATTATCAGGAATGTTTAGAGTAGAAATCAATTGCTGAGATATTATAAGACTCATATTTACTCATATATTTACTCATTAATATCAAAGACTATAGAGTACATAAGATGTGTCACTCGTACAGTTTTGCATGGTGAAAAGTGTACCAGTCAATATGGTGAATGAAGCTTCGCCTACTAGTACAGGAGCCAATCATCGATCGCTTTCTTTGGGGAAGAAGCTTGGACCTCTTTACAACGTTTTTGTGGAAAAAACGCACTGGAATCTTAGCAAATACTTGCTTCACAGACATAAGAAATATATCCAAACAAAGCTTCAAATCTGCACTTTTAAATAAACCAACTACACTTGAAATGACGTGAGGAACAGTCCATCCTGTCAAACGCACATCATATGACAGCAGCGACTACTGAAACACCCACAAACTTGTAAACAAAGAGTCGCTTTTGTTTCAGGAGGAGATTCGCCCTCAAGACCAAGTTGTGAATTACTTCAGAAGACTTGTACGATCTGACAGTATTATACAGAAGATAATAATATGTAGAACGGCCATAATAGAGGTCGGTGTCGGGATCTTGTTTTTTTCAAATGTGCATTACCACGGGCAACCTAAAAGAAATTATGATTTAGTTTGATTCGATCATTTAGAAATGAAACTTATGCAATGGTTGAAGTTTAGTTTTATTGATGGTTGCAAGTTTAGAATTTGATGTTTCCCCATTCAAACAGATTGCCCGAGCATTACATTTCAAAGATGGTTAACAAGTGAAATTACTTGCCTTAAAGGGACTCCAAAAAGCTCATTAAATGAATAATTCACTAAAAAATGACAATTCTGTCATTACTTACTCAAACATTACTAGTTCAAAACCTATTTGTGTCTCTTTCTTCTGTTGAACACAAAAAAACTATATTTTGCATTATCCTTCAAAATATATATTTGTTGGGGTTCAACAGAAGAACGAAACTAACTTAACAGAGAGTAAATGAGGAAGATTTAGTGTTTGAATGAACTAAAGCTTTAATAATTTAGGCTATAATTATATATATATATATATATAATCTATAACCACACACATACAGTACATATTTTATTGTTCAGAATATATCATTTTTACATTAACCTGTTGTGTTGAATGATATTTTTACATTATCTAACATTAAACATTATAGCAGACATAATTTGCATTTAATAAGCTTCCTCTGGATTTACTAGATTTATTAGGTATGAGTAAAAGTTTACTTTTGTCATTGTTATTCTAGAAGTATCTGATAAGATTCTTTCAGAAAAAGACAAATAGTCAAAATAACATTTTTCTGATTAAAAACAACTATGATTGATTTGAAACGCATAATTAAAATGAATTTTAAAATGTGAGAAAACATGACAATTTTTATTGCTATTTTATGCCAACTAAAAAAGCTCTATATGACCATGTTTTATATGACACTAGGAGGAATCTGGAGTTTGAGAAACAAAATTTTATATATTATAAAATAATTTATTATATTATATACACTAACAGTCAAAAGTTTAAGGTCAGTAGGATTTTGAAATATTTTAAAATAAGCTTCTCCTGCTCCCCAAAGCTGCATTTATTTAATCAAAAATACAGTACAAATTGTAAAATTGTGAAATGTTACTGCACTATGACATAACTGTTCCAAAGTAGTTTCTAATTTAATTTAATAATTTATTTCAGTAATTTTAAAGATGAATTTTCAGCTTCATTCCTCCAGTCTTCAGTCACATGATCCTTCAGAAATCATGCTAATATTATTAATAAAATAATAATATTTATTATTCTTATTCTTATTTTTATTATCATTATTATTATTAATATTATCATTATTATTATTATTATTATTATTATTATTATTAATGATATTATTATAAATATAAAATATATTAATTATTAATATTGTTGTTGTTGTTATTATTATTAATATTATTATTAATGATATTATTATAAATATAAAATATATTAATTATTATTATTATTATTATTATTAGTAGTAGTAGTAGTAGTAGTAGTAGTAGTAGTATTGTTATTATTATTATTATTATTAATGGTAATAGTAATAAAAGCAATAATGGCTGGAGTAATCGAAACTAAAAATGCAATAAATATTTAACAATTTAAAAACGTTTTTACATGTAATAAATGCTGCATTGCTGAACAGAATAATTTCTTTAAAAAAAAAAACTGACCCCAAACCTCAATCTGTAGTGTACATTATATATTTAAGACATATTCATGTACATAAACAGCTATAATAGCAATTTATTATTAGAACTAATAATAACAGTTATATTATAACCAATAACTATTTGTTTTCATAGCTGTACATAGGAATATGAGAAACAAAATAAGACATTTAGAAAAGACTTTCTTCTCATGAGGAAAGTTACATTTTTTCTTGGTGATACAACATAAATCACAGTAATCATAATTCGTTTAGTACAAATTAGCAGCAAAGGGGGAGATAATTATTTAGAAAATAATAAAATATGTTTTTAGCAGGAACACACACACACACACAAACACACACACACACTTCATTCATTCATGCATTTTCCTTTGGCTTGGTCCCTATATTCATCAGGGTTCGCCACAGCGCAATGAACCGACAACTTATCCAGCATAGCACAGCTAATGCCCTTCCAGTTGCAACCCAGTACTGGGAAACACCCATACACACATTCACACACACACTCATACCTGCGGCCAATTTAGTTTATTCAGTTGACCTATAGCGCATGTATTTAGACTGTGGGAGAAACAGGAGCACCCGGAGGAAACCCACACCAATACGGGGAGAACAGGCAAGCTTCACACAGAAATACCAACTGGCCCAACCAGGACTTGAAGCAGCGACCTTCTTGCTGTGAGGTGACAGTGCTAACCATTAAGCCACCATGGCGCCCTACACACACTTCAGTGGCTTATTTACTTAAAATCAAGGTCACAGCATGAATTGTTAGAGGCTGACCTCCATTCATTTACATGTATTGCTTTCATGATTATTCATTTGCTGCATGTCTTGTTTTTGTGTAACCTGAATTTAAAATATGACTTTATTATGATTGAGTTACATGCCCGAACCTCACTTCAAATACTGGCAAACCATGTTTTCTACAGTACAAGCCTTAATTGGATCCTCTAATTGGATCAGATGTCATATTAAGTGATGATTACATTACAGAGAGCTTAAAACCGACAAGATTACCTATTATGGTTGAAACAAATGGCACAACCATTGGAAGGAATCTAATTAGCTTCCACAAAGCCATAGTTTGTAGGATTAACCTACGAACAGGTGGTCTAAAGCAACTCTCTAGGACTGGACTTTCATTCGTGTGTAAACCACAGAGCAGCATTTTGTCAGCAGGTCTGTTGGACATCGCAGTGTAAACCTCTGAGTTCAGGACAGAGACATGAATATCACATGAAGCCCGGCTCTAAAGCTCTACAACAGAAAGCTTCCAGTACATGTCTCTGCTTTTAGTGTGCCTTACTCTCACAGCGGTCAACATTTTACATCTGTCAGTGTGCGAGTCCTCAGACAATGTGAAAAAAAAAAGATGAAGAAAAAACAGCAGGCCACAGCATTTAAAAGAATGTTTCCTCGTTGCTAGGCAACAGTGGAATTAAAAGCGATTCTGTCATTCCGAGGGAAAACGTCAGCTGAACAGAGAAGCACACTCTAAAGTGAGGCTACTTTACATGTGTGGAAATCAGGTGTAAAGTAACTAATTACAAATACTCAAATTACTGTAATTGAGTGTTTTTTCTCAGGAATTGTAATTTAGTAAGTAGTTTTATAAATGTGTACTTTTACTTTCCTTTGAGTACATTTTTAGTGCAGTAATCAGTACTTTTACTCCACGACTTTTTTTCAACCTTCAGTAACTACTTTATTTTTTCTTGTCTATGGGGACTAGAAAAACTTGACCAGGCTGGTTATATATAAAAAGAGCAGAGCTGCGGTAAAATAATGAATAAGAAGACTGTGGTCAAGTAAATAAATAAATTAATTTACAAAGTGTGACTGCTGAGAGCAACAGATTCTGGAGCTAGGGACACCGGCCCTCGCGGCCAAAAAACGAACCGGCCTACCGGGGATTCTCCCGGTCCTCCCGATTAGCCAATCCGTGCCTGCCAGTGTGGACCCGGATCATTTTCATTCTAAAACGCCATTTTAAAACTGAAACGTGTCAGTGTAAACAGGGCCTAAGACTACAGATTTCAGCTTTTGTGATTTCTAAGACAATCAAATAATAGCTAAAATCAACAAACCCGGTAGAATGTTTGTGAACAGAGTGCTACTTTAGCCATTATCTCTGCTCTGTCTTTCATAAGCTGCTTTAATGCAGTCGCATTTATATTAACACGTGCTTTGATAATTATGGTAATTTTTTAAGCTTCAAAAACATGCAGGTAAAAAGTGTGTGGAAGCTCATATGGTGTCCTTCCTCATTTGCAGACAGTCTTAAAAGGCACTGCCTACACACCGGCCATGGACCCATTAGAGACGGTCTGGTGCATCTTACACACCGAAATAGCAAGACTGGTGTCAAAACTGTAAGCTAGAATTTTACAGCAGTATCAGTGTGGATAAATCCTAAAGTCACCAGGAGCACATCAGTGACATTCCTGTCAGCTGAGAACAGCAAACTGAAGCTATAATTCACACAGGCTAGACAAAACTAGACAGTGGAAAGTTGGAAACATTTTTTTTTGCTGGTCTGATGAATCTGTTGTAGGATTTAGATGGCAGAATCAGATTTTTAACTGCAAAAAATAATCATCTAAATATAAGAAATAAGTGAATAATTTAATAAGATACAGACTAGTAACAAGTCAAATGGTCTGCAAGTGCAGTAAGATAATTATACTTGGTAAGATTTATTGAAATAAGAAAACAATCCTTGACTTTAGTAAAGAAAACACTAGATAGAAATATTATAACACTTATTTCAATCACTCTAATTCTCTTAAAACTAGCTCGTTAATAGCTTTTAAATGAGCTTTTCTTACTTTGTGTTAAAAGGTCCTAAACTAAACAGGAAAATTACTCTTTATTTAAGAGCTGATAGTCTTAATAAGCACCTAAAATGCAAAAAGCACTTTTATCAGGTTGGTTGTGTGGGGGGAATGCGGGTGTTGAATGACGGAGGGGTGTCGTTGACAAAAGTGAAGAGGGTTGGGGAGTCGCGGAAGATAGTGAAAGTGAACAGCGGACGGGCGAGGAGGGAGGTTGAGGAGGGGGATCGGTAAAATGAGGTGCCAGATCAGATTTCAGAGGTGCCGGATCCAATGTGTTCCGGCACAAATTAAGCCCTGACTGTATAAATTAAGGATCACACATCCATGCATATTGTCCACAATGTCTTATTTAATCAATTAAGACTAGATGTAAAATTATTACTTGTAACTTCTTAAAATATACTGAAGCTTATCGCAACATAACATAGCCAAATGGATTTTGTCTTTAAGGGTGCTTTCACATCTGTAGTTCGCTTCATTTGGTCCGGACCAAGGGCAATAAATTATACATTGTTGCATTTTCTGCTGTCTTTGGGTCGTTTTCACACCACACTGCTGGCTTTATTCCAAACCAGTTGAAAAGAACCAAAATAAAGTCATCTGACAAAATCCACATCTCTCATTGGCCAGATGTTGTTGAACATAGTTCCTAAACTGCTTATTGATTGGTCAGAATTCAGGTGCAGAAAAATGCCAATGAACTCCCGCAAGTAAACAAAACCAGCAGACACAAAATGTCGCTTTTTACTTTGGAGGGACGACTGCGCTGACTGACTGTATGCCTGCTTTAGACAAACTAATCGACAATGAAGCGCAGCTGCTGCTGGAAAACAATGTTTTAATGAATCGCTTGTCACTTCAGGTGGAGGCGTGAATTAATTTAGCTAAACTGCGACATGGTCATCTTGTGGATATATTACCAACGATCCATCAGGAAATGTTTCCCTCTCTCTCTCTCTCTCTCTCTCTCTCTCTCTCTCTCTCTCTCTGTCTCTCTGTTGGTAAAGCGCTGTCAACAAATTTTTTTCCTCCATATCCCATAATGCACAGGGCATCGGCCTACGGCAGCTGGATTAGTCCAAAAGGTGCAGTACTTTTTGCGGTTGGGTCTGTTTTGGTTCGGATCATATTCTCACCACAAACGAACCGCTCCAGGGTTCATTTGAAAGCATAACGAAACCACCACTTCAAGCAGGTCTTGGTATGCTTTTTTTGGTCCGCTTTTGGTGCGCACTTGAGTCCGATTGCTGCATTCACATCTGCCCGAACGAACCGCACCAAGAGGGAAAATTAACTCTAGTGCAATTCAACCAAAATAAATAAGGCAGGTGTGAAAGCACCCTAACAAGTGTAAGTGTGATTAAGTTTCTTTTTTTTTAATTGGAAAGCTTAAATAAAGTTGCCACAGCTATAATCAGAATAAGTGTGATAATTAAGCCGTTTTAATAGGCAAACTCAAACTTAAAACAAGTTTTTACAGCTAAAATAAAGACTTAAAAATACAAGGCTGGTCTTCAATCATGTCTCTAATTGTAATCAAGCTAAATTTGTAGGTAATTTGCCCCATAAACTTCCATTTATACGCACACGAATGCGGCAGACCAGAAACGCAAGCTTGTGCGACAAGTTTTGCAGTTCTCTGCATTAAAAAGTTCAAGCTTGGTGAACTCTGACCTGTGAAATTGCATAACATTGTTGTGTGAGACAAATCGATGATCAAAACATGACCTCTCTGAACAGAAATTTCAAATATGGGTCAATCGCTCACTTTTTTAAATGTCTAGTCATCTTGTTTGATCCTTCCCCTTTTCACAGCGTCTTACAACATAATTTCGCAGGTATAAATCCTAGTGTGACCACAGCATCGGAAAAAAAAATAGTAATCATGAAACAGTCATAGTAATCTTACAGAATCTGAATGTGCATTCTAGTATTATATTCTTAATACAAGTCCAATAAGAGTTTTACTGGCTTGAAAAAGGATTGTAACTCTTGACTGGATAGGAGTTTTTTTGCAATGTGCACACTATAAAAACATGGATCCATCTTGCCTTGTATCAACGGTTCAGCAATAACATATCTGAGATTTGTAGCTGACTGTGTCCATGCTTTTAGGACCACGATGAATGTGCTTTCTAAAAGATAATGCACCATGTAACAAAGCTCAAATCTTCTCAAACTGGTTTCCTGAACATGACAGTGAGTTCACTATCCTCAAATATACTCTAACAGCATATCTTTTGGATGTGGAACAGCAGATTCACATTATGGACATGCGGCTGATGAATATGCAGTAACGCTGTCATGCCAAGCTACATAGCAAGGTGTATATAAAAGAGAGTGGTAAGTGTAAATGCATGTACAGATTGCCTTTAGCATTAAATGCAGAAAAAAAATTGCAAAGTTTAAAACAAGCAAAGACTATTTAAATGTCCTTGCCATTTACATACTGCAATGATAGATTTAGTAGATCATGCCTATAAAGGATTACATTTTAATGACAATTAAGTTTAAAGGGTCCATTAAGTTTTACAAAATTCTATGTTTATACCAATGTACATGTTAAATTTAGATTATATTTCATCAAAAATAATAATTAAAAAAATTGTTGTGCATTTTTTTATTCGATGTTTGACAATCTCAACTGAAACATGAAGAGAGGACAGGATATAGAGTTACTCCCCTCCCTTTAAAAAATAGCTATGCCAGTGAAAGTGGTTAAGCTCAGGCACATCAAAAGAAATGCGTCATAAAGGGGGCGGGGAATGTCAGATACTAGAGAGCATTTGATTGGTCAAAGTATGCGACCATGTGGAAAAAAATCGTTGATTCGTTTAGGCAAAAGTAACAAACTGCAAGCTTTGGATATTTATGCTGAGATATATCCAGCTCCAGACCCAGACACGTTTCAGAACACACAATCCAGGACACACAAACTAGGCAAGGGCGAACCTAATATGGTTAATAGACAGATCAGTCTTCTATTTGTTTTTCTTGTTTAACGACAAATAACTCCTTAGGAGCATTATTGCCACTGTTGTAAACTTCTAAGAGCCCCAAAAACCAGGGAGAATCTTTCTGTTGTCTTCAAAGCAGAATCCTTTTTCAATAAGAAGAACTCAGCGTGGCTGTGGTGTCATCGAAAGCAAACTCTAAACTGCACAGCAAACATTATACATTTTTACATGTAGGTGGGGACAGTCAAACAAGGCATGCAAATGAAGTCTGGTTGTCTGCAGGGCCATGCCTTCTCCAGGTCTGATCTCATCAATATAGAAGTACATCATTACAACAATGTGCAAATGATGTTCTGGAGACAGGGAAGACAATAGATACAGCCATGCTGTGAAACCGATAAATGCATCACTTTAGCTTAGCCTGTAGTCAGCAAAGCAAAGGTTAAATGTCCCTCATAGCTGGCATGTCAAAGAAATGATATAATTAAAAACCAAAGAATATAACTTTTTAGTTATATGTAGATTATTGTTCATTTGGAATTAGACGATAGAAATGTATATTTCCACACCACCTACTGAATTTCACAAATAATAGCGTTCTTCACTCCTCCATCTCAATCGTCATATTTGTGAAGTAGTATACACTATTGCCTATTGTGTACACTATTTGTTAACAACATATATAAAAGTATATTAATGACAAGGTCTGAGAAGTCGTTAATAACATTAACATCTGTCGTAACCATATATGGTTCGCCCCTGCCAAGATCGAGTGACCTAAATTGTGTGTGCTGAAATGTGTGTGTCTACAGCTGGTTATATCAAGTTTGTATCTTCTAAATGCAAATTGTGTCACTGTTTTCTGCACACTAGCTTATAGATATCCTTAAAATTAACATACTGATACTACCACTTAAAAAACTTCAATTTTCATGGGACCTTCAAATCACTTTTTTTTTGTGGACCAGGACATTTTCCAGAATCCAACTGCACTGAATTTCTTTGATGTGCAATTGTCACAATCACCAGCCATCCTGGCTTGTAGATCGATGAAAATCATTCACTTTCACTCACCATATGGACAACAACACATCCTATCATGCACCTCAGACACACCTGTTCCAGTTTTCCATTGATTACACACACAGCTGGGAGCTGCTCAAGACACACACACATCTTTGCTGAGTCTTGTTTTACTGTACTGTGACATTGTGATGCATTTTTCCTTGCCTTATCTAGCCGAGTTTTGACCCTTGCTTTGTTTCTTTGTTCACGTAGTTTGTCGCCTGTACTGACCGCTTGCTTGTTTATTGACCTTGTCTCTGGATTTTCTGTATGTACCTATTTGTACCAGTTTTGGCCGCCTGATCAATCTGTCTAATAAACTGCACGTGGATGCTCAGCACCCACACATTACAGCAATTCAGTAAATCCCTAGCCATTTATGTAAAACTTGGACAACTGAACTAATAATATAAGTATTTAACTACTGTTATTAAACTATCATAATAATAATAATAATAATTCCTTACATTTATATAGCGCTTTTCTGGGCACTCAAAGCGCTTTACACAATGGGGGGGGGGGGGGGGGGGTCTTCTCATCCACCACCAGTGTGCAGCATCCACCTGGATGACGCGACGGCAGCCATTTTGCGCCAGACCGCACACCACACACCAGCTGATTGGTGGAGAGGAGACAGTGATGCAGCCAATTGAATATGGGGATGGTTAGGAGGCCATGATGGACAAAGGCCAGTGGGCAGATTCGGCCAGGATGCCGGGGTTAAACCCCTACTCTTTTCGAAGAACATCCTGGGATTTTTAACGACCACAGAGAGTCGGGACCTCGGTTTAACGTCTCATCCGAAAGACGGCGCTCACTGAGCAGTATAGCGTCCCCGTCTCTATACTGGGGCATTAGGACCCACACAGACCGCAGGTTGGGCGCCCCCTGCTGGCCTCACTAACACCACTTCCGGCAGCAACCTAGCTTTCCCATGTGGTCTCCCATCCAGGTACTGACCGGGCACAGCCCTGCTTAGCTTCAGTGGGCAACCATGTGAGAGTTGCAGAGAGCTCGCTGCCGGCCATAGCTTCGTTAAGCACAGGCAGAGTGAATACATAGAATAACTTCAACTAACTTATGTACCTTCGACTTGTAATGTGGCAAACATGATGCAATCTCCTAAACAGTCTCTAAGAGATGGGCAAAAAGCACACCCAGGCTCATTGCGGATATGTACCCAGGTCTACATTTCTGGGGACAATGAAATGCGTACGTCTGCTCGCAGTTTTTGTTTTTCAAATCCACCAGAGGTTGCTGTGTATGCTTTTTGATGATCTTAATTTTTCTTGAGCGTCCTCTTCTTGCATAATTCTACCAGAGGGCGCAATATACACTTTAACCGACAAGTCCAGCTTGCTGTCAACTGACTGACTGATCGACCACCTTTTTTTAGCCTGTTGTTTACTCATTTACTTTAATTTTTGCTTTTGTTGTATCTAGTTTCTGGAATCGTTCTTCACCGGACTGGAACCCTGTCAACTTGGTCAAACTGGTGACACCAGAAAAGCCATGCACACAGAGATAAGCAGTCAGCTGGTAGCACGAAAAGGAAAATAAGCTGTCTGCACTGTCATACCGCCCTATAGCATTCTTTTTAAAGACAAAATACAGCCAGATATACCTCTGGATACATACAGTAATTCAAGCTCTCCGGAAATGTAGACAGGGGTATGTATCCACAATGAGCCTGTGTTGCAACAACATCTCTAAAGAATAAAGAGTTCAACATTCCTTAATTAAAAATATACACAAGTAATTATAAATTGTTACACCTGGCTCAGGGATGTAACATAATAAGGGAGACGACAACGAGAAGTATAATCAAAAAGAATTTTTATTTAACTCAATTTAAATTATATAATCAAAATATCAGTGTCAGTATGTTCAATCAGTGTGAAATGCAGTATGGATGCAGTAAATGTTGTCAGTGATAGTGTATGGA